TTGGTAATTCATGGCCTAAGGATTATCACCTAAAGCTATAATGATATGTGATATAGTTGTTAATGCTTCTGTACCAATAATAGTAATAATAATGGTTTTGTACTTAAATATTAAATTTTCTGGATCACCTTTTGTATCTAATCGATATGAAAAGAGTAACAATAAAATACAATAATTATTATGGATTTGGATATTATTAAGAATTCCTTAATTGGCAGTTAATGTAGTAGTTGTTATTTATAATGATGATTTAATAGCTTTAATGGGTGGGAAATTGAAAGTAACATTTATTGAATAATTATTTTTGATTTTATTTATAGTTGGAGATATTATAATAGTTTAAATTATTCCAGTAATGATGGCAATGTCTAATAGTTTTTTGAGTGCATTATTATTAGATCACAATAGAATTAATTCACTAATTAATGTAGAAACATTTTCAGGTGAAATGAATATTTAAGAATAAATATAAGGTTAAATTTCTCTTAAAAATAACCCTAGAGATGATACATTATTTAAAGATTTAAAATTAAATGATCTGATAATTAATGAAAGATAATTCTTTAGAAAATATAATGGATTTGGAGAGATTAAAGTTACAACATTAAAAAGAGATACTAAAAAATATGCAGTTAGAATTATTTAATTTAAAGAATTAAGTTCTTTTTTAATAGATGAAACTAAATAAGAAATTGAATAAATAAATAAAATTAAAAAGGGATATAAGATTCTTTGGTATGATTTTAATGAATAAAGTATGTATCTTTTATCAAAATATTATCCTAATTCAAATTTAAATGAATTTATTCATAAAAATACAGGTAATGATAGTGCATAAATCAAAGAGATAACAAATAGTTATACAAATAAATAATTATTAATTAGAGTTAATATTGCTACAGATCTTATTAAAGCAATATAGAATTTGCATGATTAAAATATTATTCATGGACATCTAAATTCAAGTAATGTGTTGTTTAATGATAAATTCAAACTTAAAATTGTTGATTATGGATTAAGAGCAATTAAAAAATATGCTAGTTTAGTTAATGGATATAGTAATAAAAATGGATTTACAGCACCTGAATGTTTAAATGATAAGGGTAGTGTTGTTTCTCAATCAGCCATAAAAGAATCTGATATATATTCATTTGGAATGATACTTTATCAATTATTTACTGAAACTATACCCTTTTATGTATTTATCTCATCTTAAATAGAATATGCCATAAAAAGATTTAATTTAATTAGTTAAAGAATAATAATCTAGACCAAAAATTCCAGTATCACTTAATACAAATATAGCAACTTTAATTAGATGTTGTTGGTAATAAGATCCAATTAAAAGACCAAATTATAATTAAATTTTAACAACTTTGAAATAAATATCAGATAATTTAGAATGATAAACCTATTTTTATTAATATTGTAATTATAAATTTTTAAATCAATTTTTATTATAATCATAAAAAGAGATTGAAAAAAGAACACAATTAAAGAAAATTCTGTAGAAAAACATCTAATATTCTATTTTCTATAATATATATAAATATATGCATTCTGATTAAAATTTTAAATTAAAACATAGACATAATTAAAATGAAATTACTTTCTGAATTTGCTTTATTGAATTTAGGAAATTTAATATGTTGTCTTGGATTATCATTAATAGCTCCATTTTATCCTACATATGCTCAAAAATTTGATGTAACAGGATCCTTATTAGGACTTATTTTTGGAATTAATCCAATAGGAGGAATGTTGTCTTCATTAATTGTTGGAAAAATTCTAAATAATGTAATTAATTTATACATCTATCAAGAACAATCAAACTAATCTTTTATCATTAGGTATGCTTATTTAATCCATTGGATTGTTTTGTTATCCACTTTTAACACTTACTACAGATAGAACAATATTTATTATCATTTCATTATTAGGCAGATTTATTAGTGGATTTGTAAATTATCATCTATATAAAATAGGGATCTTAAACATTTTTGACTCCACTTTATGCTGCAATCCCATAAAAATATCCAGAGTCAGTTGATTAAAAAATGGCTATTGCAGAATTTTTTTCTTCTTTTGGATTTCTATGTGGACCAGTTATAGGGTCTCTTTTATACACTCTTGGAGGATTCTCATTTCCTTTTATACTTTTTGCATCTTGTTCTGTAATCATAGCCATAATATTAAAATTAAATATTGGTAAAAGTGGATAGAAAACAATTGTTTAAAATGCTGAACCTATATTAAATGAGTAATACAATATAAATTATTAATCTGAATCAATACTTCAGAATGAATTAGTTGAAACATCAATTGGTTACACATAATTAATTAAATTATTTCCAGTAATCTCCTCATTACTTATTATGTTGGCTTTATGCATAACTTTTACATTTTATTCACCAATATCATCACTTTATTTTGAAGAGTAATTTAGTGTACCTCCAGAAAATGTAGGTTATTATATGGCAGCAACACCATTGGCATATAGTATAGGAGCTTTAATAATATCAAGAATATCAATTAATAAACCAAGAGCTATTTTTTCTGGGATGATTTTTGTAACAATTTCATAGTTTTTCATGGGTCCTGATCCAATAATGAATATTGATCCAAGAGTTTATATTACTGTTAGTGCATAATTTAGTTATGGATTATTTTCAGCTCCTCCTTATATATTGGTTTTACCATATATTACTGAAAAATTGGAATAAAAATTTAAAAAGTCTGATCATGAAAAATGTATATCATTAGCGTCTGGTTTATTTAATGCTGTAATTTCAGCAGGAGAGTGTTTAGGTCCAATAATTTCAGGTGGATTGGCTGAATTCTTTACATTTTAGAGAGCATGCAGTTTTTTGGGTTTATATTTAGTTCTCACAACTTTATTATATTTCCCAAATTTATTAATATCAAAGAAAAAATATCAGAAAGCTTAAGTTAAATCTTATTAAGAAAATTTGTGATACAAGTTATTTTTTGTTTATGATTTTTATTATTTCTAATGATCTAATTTTTTAGATAAAAATTTAGACATTATATTAATTAATATTATTATTTTTTTAATAGAATTAATAAATGTCAATTCTTATTAATAGCATTGAATATACAAATGTCTAATCAATTTAAAATGGTTAATTAGGAAATGTTTATTTTGCTAAATTAAAAAACGAAGAAGTTGTTATAAAAGAATTATCTCTTAAAGAACAAGAAATAAAGATTTTAGAAAATCTGATGTCTAAACCACCTAACAATTTTGTAAAAATTATAGATTGTGATAGAAAATCCTACATTGTTATGGAAAAAGGAGATGGCACCTTAACAGATTTATTATAAAGCTAAGATTTTAAATAATTAAACTTTTTATAAAAAATTAAGTTATTTTAATAAATAGTCAATGGAATTTATGAACTTCATTCAAGAAATATAATTCATAGAGATTTAAAACCTGATAACATCATATATTTTAAATAAAAATAGAAAATAATTTTAAAACTTATTGATACAGGTTAGATGAATTAATTAAATGATAAAGTGTAATTTTTAACAGATATTGTTGGAACAGAAAATTATAGAGCTCCAGAATATTACTTATAAAATATAAAATATAATGAGAAAGTAGATATTTGGGGTCTTGGTCTCATATTTTATCATATGATTACAGATTAAATTTTAATATAAAAAAGAAGATAAATAAGAGATTAATAATATCTAATTTAAAAAATTGAATCAAATTAAATTTCTAATGAAAATATACAAGAATTGCTTTTGAAAATGCTTGAATAATCTTATCATTTGAGATGGTCTGCTAAATAAATTAAATTAGAACTATAGAGGATTATTGAAAATATTGAATTAAAAGAAGAATTATAGATATTAAGAAAACAATTTGAGGTATTTGAAAACAAATACATATCTATAATGGATACTAATTAATCATTATAAAATTAAATTTAAAATTCAAATCAGAAAATTAGTTACTTAGATTAGTAATTACAAGAATCAAATTAGAAATATAATAATCAAATTGAAACTATTAAAAAAAATCAAACATAAATTTAAATTGTTTAAGAAATTAATTCTAATTATAAGTTTTAAATTAATTAATTAGAATAGTAATGTGAATAATTAAAAATTGAATAAGATTAATATAAAAATCAAATACTTTTTCTATAATAAGAAAAAATAAAATATTTAGAGTAAAATTAAATCAACTAAAATTTTAATAATAAAAATAAAATTGATTAATCAATCCAATCTGATTAAATCTCTTTAAAACATAAAAAATTTATATTATTTGGTCTTCCAGGTGCTGGTAAGACATGGATTTTTAATAAATTATAAGGATCTAACTAAAAATATTAAAATAAAAGTACTATAGACTTTTTAGAATAATTTATTAATGACCATAATATTACAATTGTTGATTCGCCTGTTTTTTTAGATTAATAAAGCTATGATGAAAGAGAAGTTACTTATAATACTTATAATTCATATTTTTTAAAGAATTAAATTGATGATATTGTCTTAATAGTTTAATATTAAAGAACTGATTTGATGAAATCATAAATAAAACACTGTCTCAAATATTTTAAAAATATTACAGCAGTAATTGTAACTAAGTTTATTGATTCAGAGATTATAACTTAAAATCAAAAAGAATAACTTAGAAATTAATTTTAATTTTGTCATTCAATTATCTATTTTACAAATAAGGATTCTAGTTAAACAGAATTATTAGATATCTTTTATTAAATAAGAATATCCCAAAACTAAAAACAAACAAATTTTAAAGAAATTTTTACAAAATATGTAAATTGATAATAAAAATACATAATATAATCAGTTAAATATAACTAAAAATAATTAAATATTTATAGTATGATAAAGCATTGATGGATTATAGATTCTCAAATATTTAAGATTAAATATAAAATCTTATATACTAAAAATTGATTTAAAATTAATTTATTCGTCCATTTTTTTAAAAATCATTGATATCTAAGATATTTGTATCTTTTTTAAATGAATTTCAATAATTTTTTTATTAAAATGAAAAAAAAATAGAATTTAAATTGTGAAACTGTTTTCAATTCTTTGAAAATTTATTAATTGTTTATTTTATAAAAATTATTAAAACGAACTTTATTTTTATTCCATTAAATATTAACAATTGTCATGAAAGCAGAATTAGAATTTGCATTGTTGAATGCTGGCAACTTGTTTTGTTGTCTAGGTTTCTCACTTATAGCTCCGTTTTATCCAGCTTATGCAAAAGAATTCAATGTCTCTAATACAATTTTAGGCCTGATATTTGGAATGAATCCTATAGGAGGTATGTTGGCTTCGTTGATAGTTGGTAAACTATTAAATAATGTAAATTATTTATCCATTTTTAGGGTAACCAAAAGACGTTTTTATATTTAGGTCTCATCATTCAAGCTATAGGCTAATTTTAATTTCCACTACTCTCTTTAGTGCATTAGTAAGAATACTTCCTAATACTATCTTTCTTAGGGAGATTTTTGAGTGGATTTGTATAAATATTGAATATTCTAGGGAGGATGTACATTTTTAACTCCGTTTTATGCTTCCATACCATAAAAATTCCCAGAAACAACAGCTCAAAAAATGGCCATAATTGAATTTTTCTCTTCATTTGGCTATCTAGCAGGAGCAGTTGCTGGCTCAATTCTTTATGAAATAGGTGGTTTTTATTTTCCGTTTTTAATATTTGGTTTGGCATCGATTTTAATTGCATTAATAATTAAATTCAGCTTTTAAGAAAATAATCAGATACTTACTTAAAAATAATAAGATAATTAGAAAGATAATTAGATCGGATACATAACAATTTTAAAAGATTTTTCAGTGCTGACATCATTTAATGTAATATTTTCGATGTGTCTTGCCTATTCATATTTTTAACCGATCTTTGCAATATTCTTTTAAGATTAATTTGATGTTTCACCTGTTGATTCAGGATACTATATGTCATTGGCTCCATTTTCATATTGTTTAGGGGCTTTCTTAATCTCAAGGATTAAGGTTCATAAATAAATAACTATCCTAATTGGTATTGGTGTAGTTGCCATTTCAGAATTTATGATGGGACCAGACCCTCTATTTGGAATTAGGCCATAATTACATTTGACTATGATAGCTTATTTAATATTTGGATTCTTTATTGCTTTACCATATGTGCTAACACTTCCATCTATAATTGAAACTTTAGAATTCCGCTTTGAGAAAAAAGACCATGAAAAATGTATTTGTTTAGCATCTGGATTATTCAATTCAATTCTTTCAATAGGTGAGTTCTTGGGACCTTTCCTTTCTGGATTGATTACAGAATATTTGGAATTTCCAAGATCTTGTAGTATTCTGGGAATATATTTAATCTTAAGTACTGTCTTATACATTCCAAATGTATTCCAAAATAAATATAAAATATAAAGGGTAAAAGTACAGACTTTTGATGAATAATTATGAATAATTTATTTTATAATGATCTTTCAAGATTATTCAAATCTCCATAATTTAATTAGAACCCTTCTTAATGAAATTCAACCTTATAAATTTCACTATTTGTACATAATAAATTTAAGATAAAGAAATTATTATTGTAAACACAAATTAATAAATAATGAATAAGGGTTGGGAAGTTGATGAAGATTAGTCTTTAGATCACTTTCTATCTCTTACTGAATGTTTAGTTATTAAGAATTAGGTTGTTGATAAACCTACTGTCTCAGCAAAGATTTCTCCCAAATCTAAAATGCGATTTAGAACATCATCGATGCCAAAAGTTGAAGAGTTCATTGAACCTAAAAAAGAAATAGTGTAGCAAATATAGGATATCTAAATAAAACAATAGCCAATCAAAACACAGTCAAGACAGCAAATCAAATAGTCAAGGCCTCTGGATTCTCGAATAACTATAAGATCTACATTATTTTAGAATCCAATAGAAAAGGAGCCCCCAATCAAATTGGGAAGAACTTTATAACCTAAATTTTTCAATCCATTATTAAGAGAGTAATAACATAAGCTTGGTCTATCTCGAAAACTTAAAAGTATGAACAACATCTTTAATGATGAACGTATAACTTACAAGCGTGATTTCAGTTATTTAAAATAATAGAGATCCAATATAGTATATGTAGCTCTCTCGAAATGATTAATATATAATGTACAAAGTTTGATAAATATTGACTCTAAGCTTTATTCATTATAATTAAACTCCATTTAATAATTATCAAAGTAATATATGAAAGTATATTATATAAATAAATTCTATTATTAGATTAAAATCTCAATAATGATGATAAAACTAGTTCTTGAGTTATAATATTATAAATAAAATTAGGTTCAATCTAATTTTTATAAATTAATATTAGTAATTAATATATTTAATCTATTTCTATTTTTAATTGAGAATAAAATTTCATAGAGTAACATAGTCTATGGTTTTAATGTTACTATTCTATTTACCTTACAGATAAATGAAAAATCTATGAATATATTTGAAACAAGGTAAATTACTTTTTTTGAATAAATTAATTTAAAGAATACAGAATAATTCGAATAGATATGAAAAATCTATTTAAATTTTTTAGATAATGAAAGAGGAACATGAATTTAATGTAGAAATATACAAAAAAATAAAAATTTCTCCATTTACTGAATTTGAATCTTAAATGGTAATCCCAGCTGATTTCATGTTCGCCTCCTAAACCATTCAAATACATTGAGTGGTTATATTCACAAATAAATAAAATGATATACTTATTTTAAGAATCAGTCAAAGGAGATAATACATTACCATATCGAGATAATTAAAAAAAAGAGCATAAATATATTAAATGATCTTAAAACTATATATAAATGTTTGATCTATAATAATAGAGTATGATGAATAATAAAGATATTTGTTTAAACTGTTTTCTATTTAATGTAAAATTTATAGAACTTAATGTAAAATAAATTTGTTATTAATGGTAATCAATAAATTGAGGCTGATTTGATTATGAAATAATGTTTTTTAATTTAAATTTAATTAATTAGTAAAATGCAAGTGCGATCAATTATTGAATTGATGACATATAGTTCATTAAAATATAAATAAAAATAATTATGCCTTAAAACATTTATGATTTACAACTAAAATAATAGGATAGGCTTTTAGCTAAATTCTAAGAATTGTTTAGTAAACCAACTCATGTGAATTATATGAGTAAATGGGAAGCTATTTTGGTAGCATTATTTTTTCTTTTGGAAGGTCTTCTATTTAATAATCTATTAATTCATATCACTTTAGTTACAATATATGTGATTAAGATATTAAAATGTTAGTCAAATCAATCATTATAAGTATTTACAATTAGATGGATGATTGTATGTAAAATTTTAACAAGCAGATCTTTATGGGCATTTAAATAAGAAATAACATAGGAAAATTTGAGAATTGATTTTCTTTTGATTTGTTTTTAAGTAATTGCAACTGTTACAAAATTTAGGATATCTAACAATAAAATAATAGTAATAACAATTATTTTACTTTTTTAAGTAGGTTTATCAATATTTCATAATTAAAAAATTGATAATGTTATTTTAGTTTGTTTAATAGGAGTATTGATAAATATAATATTAATATATCATAGACAATAATTACATCAATTAGAACATGAATAAAAATTAAAAGAATTTGATGGAGAAGCTATGAAATTGAAGAGAGAAACTGAAATGTCATATAAAACTATATTTATAGCTGATTAATAGTAATCACGTTAAGAAGAATTATTAAAAAAGTTGAGATTACTTAAATATGAGAAATTACTTAATAAATCAGAGTAAATCTATTATGAAGAATAAGTTTTATAAAAATAATTAAGTTCTCCATCCCGTATTTTAACATTACGTTAATTACCTGAAGAAGATGATAAAAATTCAATTGAGGAGATAGATGAAACTCCAAGTAAGAAATCACCAATTAGAAAAATATAAAGGATAAATTCAATTAATGATAATTCTTACTATGCTAGAACAGCAGGTCATAGTATAAAATAAGATGAGATTAAAGAGAATGAGAATTTTTTAACATTAGATGAAATAGATGATTTATTGAAGATAGTGAGTGGAAGAAAAGAACATTTATGGTTACCTTAATTTTTAAGAAGTAATAAAAATATTAATTCTGATTAATAAGAATAATTTTCTCCAGAAGCTAAAAGGTAATTTATTTATTATATTTAAAAATTAGTTTTATTCTTAATCATTTTACAGAATGTGAATTTAATTTTTAATTGTCATCTAATCAAACACATATTTAAGAATAATATCATATACCAAATATGAATGATAATATTATGAAAGATTGTGATAAAAATTTTAATTTTGATTTTTTTGAATTAAATGATCAAAATAAATTTATCAATTATTGTTCTTTTATCTTTTAGAAATATAAGTAAAAATATAATAATAAATAAAAATAGTTTAAATTAAGTATTAAAAATAAAAGATAATTCAATATAAATAGAATTTTGTCATAGAATAGAATAATTTTATATGTAGAATCCATATCATAATTCATTACATGCAATGGATGTAACTAATTCAGCATTATTCTTTTTGGAAAATGGATTAAATATAACATAATTTGAATAATGTTGTTTAATAATATCATCTTTATCTCATGATGTTGGTCATCCAGGTTTAAATAATGGATTTTTAGTTGCTTCTCAATCTAAATAAGCTTTAATATGTAAATATTTAAATTAATTATATTATTAGATAATGATTAAAGTGTATTAGAGAGTTATCATGCTTCATTATTATTTCATGTATTAAAAGATGATAAGACTAATATAATTAAAAATTTAAATGATGTAGATTATAAAGGATTTCGAAAATATTGTTTAAATTTAATTTTAGATACAGATCTTCAAAAACATTTTCCATTACTTAATAAATTTAAGAATTTTTTAGCTTTGGGATCTGATAGTCAATAAGATGAATAAAATAAATTATTAGTGTTATCAATAGCAATTAAATGTGCTGGTATTTATATAAAATAAATAAGATGTGGGACATGGAGCTAAATAATTAAATTTACATAAAATTTGGAGTAGAAGAATAATTGAAGAATTCTTTTTATAAGGAGATTTAGAATAATAAGTTGGTATAGTAGTAACACCAATGTGTGATAGAAGTTAAAGTGTAACAAAATCTTAAGAAGGATTCCTTAAAGCTATAGTTTGGCCATTATTTGATGCATTCTCGGAATATTTGAAAAAGTAAATTAAAATTTATTTTATTAGTGATAATTTCAAAAAGACTTGTTTAGATTAAATTAATGTAAATATTACTTATTGGTAATAATAATAATAAGAAGAAGAATAATAAAGTGAAAAATAATAAAAATGTTCATTCTTCATTGATACAAATTATATTCATCTACCTTAATAAAATACCAATACTATGATAAATTTGAATTGGTGATTTTATTTGTGTTTTTTTATCATATATATATATATTATTATTATATACAATATTAAATTAAAGAGACAACAAATTTAATAGATTTAATTTATACTTAATCATTCTTCATCGAAATCATTATCAACATCATCTGGTACATTTTCTGGAATTTTAGGCAAAGGATGTTCTTCATCATATTTAAGTTCCCATTCTTCTCTATTTGGTGGTTCTTAATCTTCTTATTATTAAATAGAATTCTTGTATTCTTCAAATTTTTATTCTTTTTCCTAAATAAATTAATATAATAAATTACTTCTTTGATTTTAGCTACTTATTCAGTAGTTTCTAATATTAATTTTCTAAGATTAGCAATCTTTTCTCTTCTTATTTCTATATCTAAAACTCTTAATTTTATAATATATTGCATCCATTTCAATATTTTAGCATAACAAACATTATATTCTTCAACTTGTTCAACAGTGTATTTACTAATTCTTTTTTAAATTCTATTCAATTTAGCATATTTTGGTACTTCTTCATTTTTAGCTCCTCTATATTCATAATCAATTATTTTTTATATTAAATCTTCACAAATATAATGTTTAACTCCTGTCCAATCTAATTGATTAGTTCCTTTCTCTAATAAATTCTCTTTATTATAATTTAAAAACAACATCAAAGCCAATAATAAACCAGGATATTTAAGAACTCTTACTTATTTTAAAGAAAATAATTCTTATTGCAATTATTAAATTTATTGAGCAACAGTACTTGCCCTTATTGAAATTAATGCAAATTAATATTCTTTTTCTTTATCCTTTAAATCATCATACTAAGATTATTAAGAATCAACAGCTTATTCTTCTTAAATTGTTAATGCTTCTGATCTTTCTTTTACTCCTTATTCTTAATAAGCAATCATATGATCTATATCTTCTGATAATAATTTGCATTCCATTTAATTCCAACTTTATGCAAATAAATTCACATAATCTTCAAAATATTATCTATCTTTCTCATTAATTCCAACATCTTTACCTAATGTATCAAAACATACAACAAATTATCTTTTTTATGATTAAAATGGTGCTTCACTTTCATCTTACCAATTTGCTAAATATTAATCTAATTCTTCTTAAATAGAAGTTGGATCTTATTCTGTCTCTGTTGCTTCTTTTATTCTAGCATTAAATTCATTAATTTTATTTTCTTTTTCTAATTTCTTTTCAACATCTGCTTTTTTGAATCTCAATCTCTCCTCTATTCCAGCATCTAATGAACTTGGAAATAAACATGATTAATATATTAGTGGAATTGCTAAAAATGCTCCTAACTTTTTCCATTTAAAATATAATAATTTCTATTCTTTAGTCACATCTGGTATATAAATTATAGGTGATTAAGGTTATTATCCTTCTTCAGGAGGTGGAATCTCTCTAAATACCTCTCCAGTTACTCCTACTTCATTTAATGGGAGTGTTTAACCAATCATAAAATTGTGATCATCATTTGCTCCTATATATTTTATCAATTTTGGTTATTCAATATCAAGATGAGCATTTTCATCATCATCATTTTCATTTATTTATTTACTTGGAAAATCAACATATCCTACATATACACCTGTAAGACCCTTCTTTTAAAGATGATTGCAAAAATCTTTAATCAATAATTTTTAATGGAATTCATGAGTTTTAATTA